ATATATATATATATATATATAGATAGATAGATAGATAGATAGATACTATAGATAGAGAACCCTATCCCATCTATTGGTCAGTTACCTGACTTGCTCTCCTTGGAGGATAAGCTGAGGGTGGACGAAGAGCTCCAAAGAAAAACGGTTTAGAATTTGACATTCTTATTTGCAGCTGAACTGTTCTGTGTGTATGCATAGGATTTGACAATTCCATTTAAATTAAATTCAGATTAAATACCTTTCTACAATTGGAGGACCAAACTATGGAGAGACAGTGCGGCGAATCATGAGAAAAATCACTTCCTCAGAAGTTTGGTCACAGTTTAGCCTCAAAGGAAGGAAGGGGAAGAGGAGACTTGAAGAACTCTCTGTTTATCGAGTTCTAATAAGTATAAAAAAATCAACAGTATTTGCATTTATTTTATTGTATATTCTATTGTATTTTCAATTATCTTTGATTTGCATTATAGTGACAGAATTCTACATTATTGGCAATACAAATGGGATGAATACCTGTTTGTTCAAATGTAAAGTATACTTGTTCTTCTCTAAAAACTTTACTTAAACCATTTAGGGGCAATAATGAAATCACAACCTGGGTCTACTAGCATGGATGCTGAAAGCCAGATTGCAGAGACCCTTAAACATGCACCAGGTCTGGTTAGGAGAAAGGCTAATGTGAGTATTTTGACAATGTATTATATTACTGACAATATGTATGTATAATATATTACTTTTTTCTTGCCCAGCCAACATTTTCACTGGCCCTGCCACAAAAATAAAATAGCTGTTTTTATTGTTGTTTTGATCCTTATCTTGTATTCTCATAAATAAATTTATGGCAAACATTTAGATTAGTTAAATATAAGGGAAATATAAGGGAAACAAATGAACAAATTACAAACAATAGCACAATAAATACATAGAACAGTTTGTAGGTGATCAGGTACAGAAATTGAATAAACAAATGTAATAATATTGCATATTCTTCACTGTATAAATTAAATATAGATGAATCATTGTTAAAGCTACAAAAGTTAATCAGTCAAGAGCAATGAGTGTTTTTTTTTTTTGGTATTAACATTAAGTACACTCACAGCAGTGAGGTCACTTTAGATGTGCATGTGTCCAATATATTGATACATATACGATTTTTCTCAACTTTTTACTTTCAATTATGATATAACTGACTGTTTTCGAGGATATGCTCCAAGACAGGTATTTTATTATTATTGTCCAGCCCTGGTTAAGTACTTTTTTTTTCTTCCCTCAAAGTCTCAAGGCTACAGTTAAGTGCAAATCAATGTTTTTAATATACACTAAATTAATCCAAACTAAAAACCCAAGTGTGAGATTTTTAATATTGCTTTAATGTTCTGTACAGCTGATATTGACATGACACTAAGTTTGACATTTAATTTTACAGCGATCAGTTGCCCCACATTTACAAGATGGTTCATTGGACCTCATCTTTTTCTTTCATATCTGTACTATCCTGTTATAATAAGGACCTAAAATAAAATAAAAATAACTCGTACAAAATTTACTTAAGATTTGATAGATGTTTAAAATAACCATTTAACTGTTTAAAATAAAAGTATCAAAAGACTGAAAAGACTACGCTAATGTGATGTTTCTGTCAGGAGTCAGGTTTGATCTTTGTCTCTCTTTTCTAACTTTTGCTCTTTTTTTCTATTGGCTGCGCTCAGCTGATTGTTTCTTCTTTCCTTTCATTTTTCTGCTATAGTGTGCTTTGTTTCGTTGAGAGATTATTTTGTACTGTCTGCTCATACATGTGTCCTGTCCTGTCTTATCAAGATCCTATATGTGTCCTCCTATATTAATGGCTTGCTATTTGATTTTGCTCCGTCTTGTTCTCTGTTTTACCTGCATGCTGCACATCATTCTCTGTCCCCTATGGCGTTCGGGCGGGATCTTTAATATGACGCTGCAACATGCAACATTTTTTTTGCTATTTAATCTATTCATTTTAAGACGCAGACGAGGCGTAGACGTGACGTAGACGTCACGCAGACGTCACGTAAATATGGAAGGCGGGCGGGGCCATAAGTCTTTAAACGGAACGCGTGAAATGCGACCGTGTCAACACGCACAGTTTGCCCGCATTAACACGGCAATTTTGAACGCGTTTCTTTTGTACGTGTAGACACGCACGTTTTGGCCGCGTTAAGGCAATTCCGCTGGAAAACTGCGGACTTGGCAACACTGGAAGAGGATAGCTTTCTGATAGCGCATCAAGAACCGGGTTGACCGGGTACTCGGTACCACCGGTACTTCAAAAAACCTGGTACTGTAACGTTTTCATTTTCTTAGTACCGACTTGGTACCGAAATACCGGGTCTTTTGACAACACTACACACGTACATACCACACACGTACATACCACACACGTACATACCACACACACGTACATACCACACACACGTACATACCTATGGAAGGCGGATGGAGCCAAAAGTCTTTAAACAGAACGCGTGAAATGTGACCGTGTCAACACGCACAATTTGCCCGCGTTAACGCGGCAATTTTGAACACGTTTCTTTTGTACGTGTAGACACGCACGTTTTGGCCGTGTTAAGGCATCAGTTTTTGCCGCGTTTATTTGGTACGTGTAAAGACGCACAGTTTGACCGCATTAAGACGACAAATTTGAACGTGTTTCTCAACGCACACATTCTAGCCGTGTTCAAACATGTAATATTTTTTAAAGCAGATTTAAGTCCAGATTTACCCACACATTCCTTTTTTTTAGCATTGCTTTACTTATATATACTGTGCTATAGTAAATTAATAAATGTTAAATAAATGTCATATTAAGTAAATGCTAATAATCCATATTGTACTATTATTAATTGTAACATCTATTTATGTTATTGAATGTTTGTTTTAAGTTATATAGGCCTATCATTTTTGAAAGTATATATAACTTCACACAGAACATATTATAACTGAAAATACATATACTTAGACATAAAAATGTATGTCTTTATTTTATATTTCTGTAATGATATTTATAAATAAGTAAATAGCACTATGTACACAAAGGTGATTTATAGCAAATGTTCAGTTTAAATTAACAGATAGTGCAATGTCAACCCTAGAATGAATAAAGAAACATAAACCATTTGTGATAACAAATCACAAATGGTCATAAATATTTCTTTAAAATCTTAAAAATTGTAACTATTCAAATGCATATAGAGACATATAAGTTATGTTATGACCCTGTATAGTTTTTGCTGTTCTGTCCCTGTGTTATTTTGGGAGAGTCTGTGTGTAACATCATCTGATTGCCTGCTGCTGGCTGATGGCTGGCTGGAGCTATAACAAAATTGTTTAAAAATGAAAATGTTTGATATTTATTAAATTTTTATTATTATTAATTTCTTTACCCTTAAACTTGTCTTTAAGTTATAGTGGCAAGAACAAGTTTGTGAAACCTTTGAAAAAATCATTGTCTTGTTGCATCACAGGTTGAAGACATTCTATATTCTCCTGTAAAATCATCTCCTCTTATCTAATGATCTGACCAGTCTGACATGCAGCACCAACAGTCAAGTGCTTCTTGATAATCCAAAGAGATTCGATGAGCATTCCTGTGTAGATTGGTGCTATGTACCGTTAAACTGGTCTTTAGGGAGCCATAAATCAAAAGTGGCAAGTGGTTTCAGCATTGATAAAATGTGGTGTGATCTTAATTTGAATAACAATTACAAACAAACTGAATAATTGTTCACACACAAACAATTGTACATGTTATTGAATGTTTGTTTTAAGTTATACAGGCCTATCATTTTCGAAAGTATATATAACTTTACACAGAACATATTATAACTGAATATACATATACTTAGACATAAAAATGAATAAAATATTTATATTTCTGTAATTATATTTATAAATATAAGTAAATAGCACTATGTACACAAAGGTGATTTATAGCAAATGTTCAGTTTAAATTAACAGACAGTGCAATGTCAACCCTAGAATGAATAAAGAAACATATAAACCATTTGTGATAAATCACAAATCATTCAATCCAGATCATTATAATTCCTGACCCCTCTGACAGACATATCTTCTTAAATTATCAGTTGACTTCTGAAGACATGACTTTGCAAGAGACATTTGGAAAACGCATTATGATCGGGAAAGATCATAAAACAAAGTGAAAAGTGCATGTTTATGACTATAAATTAGGACTATAAATAGGCCTGTATTTTCACCTACAGATAATGGAATTAAATTCTTCAACATCCACTGATTGCTATTGTAAGAGGACATTTTTTCCATATAATCTAATGATTTCAAGTTGCATTAAGTCAGTCATCGTTCTTATAAACGCAGCATATTTTGGACATAACTTATCACAACATTCAAATCTTCATCAGTGTGGTTGGAAGAAGCCAGCTGCACGCAGTCAGAACAGGTCCTTTGGCAGTGTGCTAAAACATTTCTAAGAGCCATGAAGCTGTTGGTTTCTACCCGAGAAAGACCGTTAAACTAAAGAGAGAAAAAAAAATCATGACAAATCATGACATCACACACAACGTAGCAATGCATTATCCTCACGAACAAATATAACGTCTGACGTTTGCATACGTATATGGCAGTGTACCATTACGACATCCTTCACGAATACATATGACGTCTGACGTTTGTATACGTATATCCCAACGTATACAAACGTCAGACGTCAAGTTTATTCGTGAAGAATGTCGTAATGGTACACTAATACATACGTATTCAAACATCAGACGTAATATTTGTTCATGAGGGATAATGCATTGTGATTTCAGTGTTACATAATGATTTGTCATATAATACGTCAGTGCATGTCCTTTTTGCTTGTTTTGCTTAGCTATAGTTGCTAGCGGTAATTCTGTTCATAGTTTTGAACAATAGAAACGTAGGCCTACATATATTTTCAACACAGGACCACATGAGTTTTAGCAAAAATGTATTATATCCACTTAAATTCCTTTTGCTCGACAGATTTGCCTGCTTTAATACTGCAGAGATAACAAACCCACCGCCCACTCACAGAACCATTTCACGGGGGTTAAGTGCTTGCCTGATCGGACTAGAGAGAATAAAACCCAAATTCAGATGTGCAGTTTACCCTTGCGGTGTACAAAGATGGTTTAAGTCCATTCATCACTGTATGTAAGCGTGGAAAATAGAATCCATGCGCGACTTCAAAATATTATGCAGCAATATGCGTTCTTCAAAAGAAAATGTGGGGAATTATTGCAGTAAAAACATAAGCAAAGTTTTATAATTCATAATTAATCATAGG